AAAGCGAAGGAAGCACTAAAGATTCGACCTCAGCGCAGACTTGCGGCACATTTGGGGCATAGCTGCATCTTTCTTTGCCATTATAGGGATAAATGCTACAAATCTCAAATCCCAAGAAGTGCGGGCTTAATCCCGTATACGGTCGGACCGTTTATCAAAGGCTCTCTGGCCAGGTTGTTGTGACGTTTTCCAAAGCCTGAGCGATTAAGATGTCATGCAGCTTAGACACTCACTTCTGTCAAAGTCTACAGCAGTGTGCGGTATCTTAGGATATCATGTCTAAGCTTGTCTAATAAATGATGGTCATGATCATGACTGTATACAATACGTGACGATTCACTTTTGGAGATCTTCTTTTGTTATTTTCCTTCTTGAAACAATTCTTTTTCTCTTAAACTCATAATGCTTTCAAGAGCAATTTTATCTAGATTCTACAGTACTGGGCTTTTAAATCATCACCTTAGTAATCTAATTAATAAATAAGGGTGTATGTCTTAATAACTTAAATACTGTAAATCTTGAATCAATGTTTGCTATGATTTTACTTACAGGTGATTTTTTTTTACATTTCTAGTATTTTCTACTCCACCACAAAATCGTGATTAACTGCAGATTATGTGTTTTTGTGCTACACTACAGTTTTCTTTCCCCTGCAAAAAACAAATGGATTTCCAGTAGCTTGCTGACATTTTTTTCCACACGAATATATAGACAGCCTAGAAAAATATATCAAAAACCTTACATATTTCTTTTAGCTAACCCATATGTAGGCATCGAATACAAACTGCATGCCAAAATGGCTAACAGCGATTGGAGAATATTACCTTTCCACTATACAAACACAAAGTTTGCATAGACAGCCCTGTATAAACTGCTAAAGAAAACATAGACCACATAATTGCTTGCTCGCCAAAGGATGCTAAGGAGAAAATGGACCAAGGCAGCCCGAAACCATCATCACCCAATAAGCCTAGATTCTGGGACACGACACAGAACTTGAAAGTAAACTTCAATTGAAAACAGCTGGGGAGAATGATAGCCTAATAGACTACAGAAAAAAGTTCCTACAGGCATCTATGTGTTAATGTTAAAATCATTATCATGTGTGCTCTGGTATCTGGGACAAGGTTACACTGAAACAAATGTACATGGAAACAGCTGGTCACTGCTGAAAAAATAGTCTAATCTTCAACTGAAGTGTGACAACATGTAACATGTGTGATTAGAATTGATGGTGTTCCAAAGTAGTCATCTGATACGTTTATGTAATGATAAGGAAATGTTTTATATTCACAAATGACTGGCTGGTACTGGGTCAATAGATCATGGGTTCGATTCCTGGCTAGACACTGTCACAGTTCTTGTATTGGGAATTTTAAGAATTGATGATGTTCCAAAGTACTAGTAGTCATCTGATATTTTCATGTAATGATAAGGAAATATCTATTCACAAATGACTGGCTGGTACTGATGGGTTGATAGATCATATGGGTTTAATTCCTGACTAGACACTGTCACAGTCCTCGTATTGAGAAAGACCCCTTTTTTGGCTCAATGCAAGGCCCATACGACCACTTCTCGGCATTGAACTAGAAATATGACAGAAACATGGCTATGTCAAGAGATGGCGGTGAACGTTTGATTTGAAAGCCTGTAGATTGTAGGTTGGTGGGAAACACTTGTCAGGGAGGGAATTCCAAAGCTTGGTCGTACCAGGAAAGACTTAACACGGTGGCATTCCTCAATCTACTCAAGTATAAAATGTGTACCTGACTTCAGTTGGAAAGGTAAAACACCGTGGAAGAAGTCTGATTAAATGTCTACCTAGTAAATTATAGAGATAGGTACCAGGTAATTCTGATAATCACTCCCAAGAGCAACAGGCATTACCAGCCATACCTTTACTTTAACCATTGTTAACATTTCCTACTTTTTGTGCAGTGCAAGGCAAAGGTAAGTAGGCTAACCCGCCATTGTACAATGTCATAATCTAATAGTGCTAACGTGGCAATGTTTGAGACAGTTCACAATGGCGGAGATAATCTTGTAATGCTGAGGGCAAATTTCCAAACTGGGGCCCGGATGGGCTGTCTGTGTGAACGAAAAATCAACAATTTATATCAACAAAAAACATAACTAATACCCGTAATTAGTTTTTTAAAACTTTTTTGCGTTTGCTGTCCTTTGTATCATACTAAATCCTTTTTTAGAAACTGCCTGGTAACTGTCCGCTAGGACTTTTTGCATGAAGACTGGTAACCATCCGCTAGGACCTTTTGCATTACTGGTAACCGTCTGCTAGGACCTTTAGGACATTGTGGATTTAATTGAAGGGTGTGTAGTGTAGTATACCTGTACTTACTCCCTGTGTTACATTATGACGTAAATACAACTTTATTACAAGTACACGTAACACGTGTATATGTCATAAGTCTACCATTCTCTGCTTGGCTAACTCTAAGTCATTCAAGGTCTCCTATTCAAAGTGTTGGACCTTTTGCAAGAAGACTGGTAACTGTCCGCTAGGACCTTTCGCATGAAGACTGAAAACTGTCCGCTAGGACTTTTTGCATAAAGATTGGTAACCATCCGCTAGGACCTTTTACATTAGTACTGGTAACCGTCCGCTAGGACTTTTTGCACGAAGACTTCTTCCTACCTGTACTAGTACCTTAATCCTATGGGAACCAGGTCACGGAAAGATTAGTACTACTTCAACAACACACAACTGGCCGTTCTGTAACTACGCAAGGTTTCCTTGGTACATCAATGTTATAATTGAACTGAATGATTAATTGAGTGTGTGTATGTGTGCATTCAACTTATACAGGTTAGCAACAGTCTGTTACTTCTAAATTCTTTCACCTTCAAAAACAGAACTTGTTTGAAGTTTGAGAGATCTGTGTACCGGTACTAGTGCAGCACTCCCCATGGCCAGCCATGCAGTTTAGATATGCAGGTATGTATTTTAGTACTGGGTGACATTGCATTGGAGATGTCCTTAGACAATTTTTCAGGGTGGCAGATAGATACAGATAGATGTTACACATGAGTGATTTTTTTAAGGTCATCATTCCAATCATTGCATTATGACTGGGCACCAAAATTGTGCATGTAATTGGTGTGTGTGTTACAGAAGTATGGGTACTTACTCACTATGTTACATTATGACGTAAATACGTGTACACGTGTATATGTCATAAGTGTACCATTGTCTGCTTGTCTAAGTCATTCAAGGTCTCTTATTCAAAGTGTTAACAGTCATCTAAGGACATTCTTTACAATGAGGAACAAGATTTCATACTATATAAAGCAGGGCTCCTATTATATTTCTGAGTCATGAAATTCTGACAATTGAATATCAAGAATATGCTACAATAGTACAGTCTAGTACCAATTTACATCATGTAACCCCTAATGAATATTTGCTACTGTAGTACTAGTAGTACTAGTAGTCCAAAATTAGGCTGGGAGTACAAAACCTGAAGCATGCATCTATTGACGGTATTGTACATATTTGTATGCACCCAGTAGGGCCCTGAATGGAAGTCGTATATGCATATTTAGGTGAAAAGGTATTACCTGACAAGTACACATAACTGTGACTTTTGGACTTTAGTCTTTGCCCAGTCAAGATTAGAGTCAAAGTCACGTGCACAGGGTTGCACCAACCAGCTTTAGCCTGTTTAGGTATTGTGCATTGTGCTATATTTACTACATACATGCATTTTACATGTACTTTCACGTATACATGTATTGTGCTGTATGAGCTAGGGAAAGAGAGCTTTTCGCAGGCTTTGAAGTTCACAGTTGAAAGTAGTACGATGAAAATACAAAACACTGTAACAGTAATGGCAATGCACCCCAAATCACTACAAAGCTTTAAAGGACTCCTGCAATTGAATGTGCAAAGATTGAGTGTAACAAGTCGTCGGTGTGATATAGCTAGCTGCTGCCGCTCTGCGTGCCTGCGAAGCTGGTGTGTTACGCTGAAGGGCGGTTATACCGGCTATACTGATACAGATAACTGAACACCTGTGATTTTAGTGTGAACATTTCATGATTTACGTTACCTGAATACGTGGCATATTATTACTATAAATACATAAACATGATGCAGTCCCTGCACTGTTGACGACATACACGTGTAGTTACCGGTAGTCTCAAATCTGAGCTCATATTATAGTCGTAGCTTAGGAACTGGGTGTGCCTAACGTTCACCTACGTATAGATAATATGAGTATGAACTTTTTGCAGGGAAGTCTTTTATGCATGAGAAGACAAACTGTATGAAGAATGCCTGAGGGCCTATCCTACACACATGTACCATTTCAAAAGAAAGTTTGGATGTGCTAAGTTAAACTTCAATGTTCATTCATAGAGAGGGGATGCTAGAACAGAGTAAATATAAAATGTAGATGACAGTCTTAAATTCAACTGTATGGTTAAGTATGTACTAGTTAGTACCTTAATAACCCCTTAAAAACTTGCACATGTACAATTTCACACAAGGACACACACATGTACAAGCGTGTGCCAAATTGGCGTGCACGCACGCGTACACACACAGACGTTACACACACACACACACAGTCACACACACACACACACACACGTTACACCCACACGTGCGCACACACACACACACACACGCACACCCACACACTTACATGGGCACATCCAAGCATTTTCTGTGGACATCTCACATCTTACACAAGTTACAGCAGTGTTGTTCACAAAAGCAACCTTTGCATGTTTACTTCTACAGAACTGCTGATGAAGCAAAATGTTGGCAGCTACTTGAGCTAGTTGAAAACATCAGTAACTTGCTCAAACAGATGTCTACAGTACATTATAAAATGTCTAGTAATAAACCTAACACGTCATCGACAGTTATATCTTGAGACTTAAAGGATTTAAGGATCTGAATAGTGAGATTTTCAAAGGTAACATTAGAGTACGTAACGTTAGGGTAATTATTTGATGAAAGCAACGTGTACCTTTTTTCTTCCTCGCTATTTTCTCCCAACTTGATATATTTTCTCTCATCTGGCGTCGCATGGAGCCATCTGGCCGGCTTGAGAAGATAGTCTGATGTCGAGACACGTTCTGGTATTCTGTATAAGGGGTGCCGGAGGAGAATCTTAAGTTTCGAGCCGGCATATCTCGGCGGGGAAGTCCTGTTTTTCTGGACGTTGTTGTTGAGTTGTTTATGATCAACCGTTGGAGAGGGTGGTTTTTCCACGACGTTGCTTTTTTTCTGGAGTCCCTTTTCTGGAGATTTGAGATTAGGATGTTGTCCCGAACTCATGGCGCTAAGGCTTACGTTGCTGTTCACGCCGTATTCTTCGTTCAAGAGTTTCTTGTTGCCCGGCCCGAAGGCGGCCTTGCCTCCGTACCGGGACGCTTCCGCAGCCTGGGCGGCGCGACCCGCACCCTGCCCCGACGCCGGGTCCGCCGTGAATTCCACGGCAACCCGGAGGTTTCCGTTCAAAACCAGCACCCCGCAAGTCACCAGCGTGAGAAACAGTCCCCCCGCGACCAACCTAGCTTTCAACTTCATGGTTTCTGACCGAAAAAAACTGCACAAGACACGGATAATAATTCGGAAACTGTCCTTGAGCATAGCAGTCAGACCAGCGTACTGCCTGACCGAGTTGTTCCTCAGTGATATCGTCTGTGATCTCTGATCCTCCCTTCTCACGCTCGCCTACGTTAGGCTCTCTGAGTGGTTCACGCAGGAATGGAGGGTTTATCCAATAACACTAACAAGATTCTGAGGAAAATCCGCACACTGTAGACGCCAGACTGGAAGAATGTCAAAGTTCTGGTAGCAGCTGAGCCGATCTTCTTGGAGCCTGCCAAACGACATGGTGCGCTCGCTCTATCAGGGTCGTCTGAAACCTACCCGGGGGTTACCGCGCCTTTTATCCCGTGCTCTCCTCTCTAACAAAACCCGGAATCTGTAAACATCACGACATAACTTTAGTTCTAGGTCTCTAGCCGGTATTACAGTAGGTGCTCAGGCCGAGGAGATTTAATAGAGACCTCCTTGCTCAGACACTGGTGGTGAAGGTGTGTTTTTAGGGGCGAAGCTTTGATCACGTTGACTTTTGACCCCGTGACAATGTGTGCTGATTGGGTAAAGGGTGTGTGTCTACTACATCGGGCATTTTCAAATGTATTACTTGATTAATGTCACCATTGATGTTTTCAAGACATTCTGCTTTGTGTTTTATTCTGGAAACTGTGAAAAACACATCTCCAGATAGTGTCACACCCCTCATTTCTGGACCAATTTATCAATAAATTAACCCCACATTGTCCAAATCGTATTATGCTCCTAATCTTGTCACACCCCCAATACCTAGTTAACGTTAAGTCCAATAGCAGAAAACGCTCATTCCTGTACCGTGCAGTCGTGCTCTGGAACGATCTACCATCTGATGTTAAGACACTGTGCGATGTTATCAGTTTTAAGAAAGCCGTTTCAAACAGTAGTAGTGTCACCTGATCCTTGCTCGCTACTTTTAAATTGTTAATATCTATGTGTATTCATTGTTGATGTGGTGTACATGTAACGTTATGTATGTAACTGTATTTTTAAATGTTTCTACTATGTTGTAATTATGTCATTTTAATTGTTTGAGCCTTGGAAGATTAGCCCTTCGGGGCTAAAAGGTTTCGAAATAAATGAAATGTTCTCATCTTTCAAGCAGATGTTAGGAGGTAACAAATATTCCTAAATCCATTGCAATACCAGGGATATAAAAAAGCAATGGCATACATCCTTCCTTTAATAAATAATGGATAAGACCTTGAGAATGATCTTTTACCCTAATAAAACATTTAATACTAGTAACCTGGATAAAAATAAAACTACTTGACCTTTTCAATAAACAGATTGGATTGACTATATTGATGTTCTTCAAAATGTTTTTTGTTTTGTTTCACAGGAAATTTCTTTTACACAATTATATATCTGCTATTTAGCTTGGAACCAGATATGTACAAATGTACATAACATACTCTTCAATCATCTTATGGTATTATATTGTGTAACTAATTTTGAACTTTAAACTGTTATTTTTAGGTAATTAGTGTGTAATGATATGGATTTTATTGAATAACTTATCAATTTTAATTTGTCATGCCAGAAATGTTAAGAAATCAAATTGCACAGCAAGACACAATTTAGCCAACGTCTACAAGTTCTTGTTTGTTTTCACAAATAAACCATTTGATTGATTGATTGAACTATTCTTTCGCCTGTGAAGTTAAACCTCTTAGTATTCCTATCCCTACTGGTGAAGGTGAGATGGCAGGTGCCTATGAATTATAGTAATATCACTCAGAATGTATTTGCCCTTTGGTCTCATCGTAAAGTTTCCATTCAGAGTTTGAAAAGCAGGGTATTGATCAAACCTGTATGGGACGGGACAGCTTGTCAATTCAAACTGACATTTATCAAGATACAGGAAGCCTGCGGTTGTCTGATACATCATCTAATTTCTTGGGCCGTCAAAAGATGAAATACTGTAATTCACTTTATGTTCATGGCAGCAAAAGTTCACGGTCTGAGAAAAATGGAGGTGTTCACGGTGGAAGCAGGTGCAGAAAAAAGAAAGTCGGCAAATTATTTGTTATTGCGTTACAGAGGTGACAGCAAAAACTGCAAATACATCGTGTCGTCAAAAAATCAGGTATCAACGAAAAAAATCCAATATTCCTTGGGGTGGGAGGGGACAGTTTTTAGTAATGGTAATGTTACAATATTCATCTATTCAAGCATGCAGTCTTTCTCATTACGTATAAGTGTCAGACTTACTTCTTGTTTGTTTCTACATGATTGTATGTCTTCATGAAAAGTACATGAAGGTGCACAACACTGCATGCACAGAGGTTTGCTTTCGTGTGTTTGCTTGTGTTCACTATGACTAGGAGGCCTTGAGTGACTTGACAAAAAAAAAAGACAATGGTATGGTATAGACTCAATTGCATCCACGTGTATGTGCTTGTACATGTAATTATAATAATTGTAACACACTTAATAAGTACTATAACCTACACCCTCCAATTTAATCTGCAATTTAGATGCCAGGTCAAGCTCATAATACAATGATTGGAGTAGTAGCCTTGGAACTAACCCCGGCATGTTATTTGGCCAATTTCTGCTCTTTCCAGCCGCTTCTGAAGCCTGGTGGAGATTACTACGAATGTGCTTAATTTGTTAAGTGTTCACGATAGCACACCACCTGTTGCTATAGACCCAAGTGGCCCATCATTGAACACTCCCTAAGGCATTATCAGCCATTTTGTATTTTGCAAAACAAAGTGACTATTGAGATAATTTTTTAAAGAAAAGGGATTATTGCTCTATTGGGATTAAACAGATACTGTGGTTTATGTCAATAATTTTGAATTGCCTGCATTGTTTTCCCTTTTCACAAAAAATTACTTTCTATAAAAGGTCAAACAAAAAGAGCTGCATCTGTTACCAGAAAGGGTTAGTTGTGTTCCCTTGGACATTGCAGGAATTTGACTATCAATATTCAACTTTGTGCAATTTAGGTTGATCAAGGAGGTTTGAACCACCTTGGGTTGATCAAGGACACATTACATAAAGTCCTTGGGTTGATAGAAAGGTACCCACATAAAAAGGGAGGTGGCAAAAGAGACACATCTCAAAAGATCTAGAGTCACGTAACGTTGTACACATGCTTTAAGCTGCAACTATTTCTTACTGGGTAAGGAAGTATTGCTTTGGGTGGCTGAGTGTGTGGGTTTGTCTGTCTATGTGTGGAGTAGGTTGACAGCACATGGGTGGGTCAAGATCAAAGATTGCCTACCTCCCTGAAGTATGAAATCTCCTATTTCCTGTTACCATAGCAATAACTTAATAATAACACACAGAAGCAGCTATACTGTTTTGCATGACACAGACACAGCAGTTATTTTAGCAATAGATATTTCCACAAAATCAGGCGAAAATTTATGCGAGCACTGATGTCATCCATAAAAATTACTTGCAGTGGCCTAATTACACATTAAAATCACCATCAAATATCATCTGATTCAAGAACAAAAAAATGTAGCGACTTAAGGTATTGATTTTCAGCTAGGGCAAACACGGCACTAAATGTTTTTATTAGCTACTGTATACAATGCTATTTGCCATTCCAGAGGGATTTTTATCTTTGCTACTGTAACATCTTAATGTAATCTGACTGACAGAGATTAAGGCAAAGTGGAACAGTAAGAAAACATATGATCACAACATAATAGTATTTATCAGAGCAAATGACATCATCAGTTACATGATACTGCACCAAAATTGCAAGTAGTTTATCAAGTTTTACAATTATTTAGTCCATTCTTCCAAATCTCTACTTGTAGAGAGATATACATTTCAGCAATTACTATTATACGATATATATTCTGTATCTGTATCTGTATCTGTATAGCCGGTATAATATAACCGCCTTTCCGTGTAACACACCAGCTAACACACCAGCGTAACACACCAGCTATTCTATAACGTTACTACATGTGCATACACCTAGAAATCATCTATCCTATACTACCAAGTATTTATTGATCATTCAGCCGAAGCTTGGATGTTTCTACAGGAAGATGCACTTGTGCAATGCAAGCAAGATTCACACACAAACTGGTGACAATCATTTGACGGCCACTTGGCTTTTTAAAATGCCAACAAATAACTTGATACAAAATAGTAGTTGCTTTAGACAAAAGATGATTCAGGAATGTCATAACCTTAGCATTCAGTGTAGGAAAGTTTACTTCAGACTTGCATAGGCATTAAGAAGTCGAAAATTGAAAGCTTGTAATATTAGAAGTTATCTTAATTATCTTCTATCTTGTTTTAGATTTTAATGTGTGTATTACGATACACATTGTACATTGACTTATAATTCATAATTATACATTCAAATTTGTTAAATTCTTACCAACTATATACCTAATGGCGGGAGAAGTTTGATACATGTATTTAAAATCAACATAGCAACACAATGATTGTTGTGCTTGAATACTTTTGATCACAGGTGCCCTCTGGCATCATGCAATGGTACTGCAATAGCAAATCATCACAGCACACTAAGGCCATGTTGATTTGATTATATGGATGACATCCGCGCGCGCATGAATTTTCGGCCGTTTCAACAATAAAAAAAAGTTTTCAACCATACTGTAAATCGTACAAAACAGTTGCAAAATGAGCAAAAATATACCGTAAGTTACAAAAAAACCATACCAATGTCGTAGAATGCCAAAATCAAACGAAAAAAGACGAAATTGTAAAGAAATGAACTTGAAGACTAGATTATTCGCCAAACCATATTCCGTCCCATTTGTTCAACCCTCATGACCACGTAGATTTCATAATGAAAACAACTTTTTTTTTTGCAAAACTTTTTTTTTATTCGCACACGCGCATCAATTTTGGGGTTCCCGGAGGATGTCATCCATATAATCAAATCAACATGGCCTAAATGTAATTTCTGTAATTGGTCACTTGCTTCCAGTTCAATTGTGACGGCAGCAATAGGAATGGAGGGAACTCATCAGTAACCCAGTCTGCCAACAAGATCTGGAAAATAAGTGAGATGATCATTGAATTACAGTCGTGGAAACACAGTTTTTAAAACCATTACACTAGATTTAGAAAGTAACATGGTCATTGAATTACAGTAAAAACACAGATTTTTAAAACCTTTACACTAGAAACGAACATTGTTAATATGATGCATTTTTCTTACTAGTAATATGTGTAAGACTGGTAAACTACCTTAAATTTCTAATTTGATACAAAATTGTTACTAGAGGTGTTGGGCAAAATAAATTTGATAAGACTTAGCACTAGAACACTGGGAAAGTTTTTACAGCATTTGATGTTCACGGTTGAAATAATTCTGAAGTAGAGTGGAGCCGGTAAACACATATTCATGGTGTAATGAATTTACAGTGAAGATGTTAAAATAAAAATACGACCAACACAAAAGTTTGAGGATTTATAAAAACCAACCTGCATAGCTGGACATTCTATCCTCTCCTGCTTTCTCTTTCTTGGGCTTTGCTGGAGCCTGGGATTAAAAAAAGTTAGACTGTCAATCTCAGTCTATGTATTACTAATAGTAAAGTTTCTGCGTGGTTTTCCATGTTTGTGACTATAATTATCATAGTATCTGCATGACTGTAGATATTAAGATTTAATATCTGTGTCAAGTTTAGAAATATTTAAGTCCAGCAAAAACAAATATTTTACCTTTGAGATAGGCTTCTTGACCCCCATGAGGTCACACAGCTGGTTTCTTATTCCTCGGATCATTTCTAGATTGTTGTCATCCCTGCAAATGAAGACCATATTTTTGATAAAGATTACCTTGTGCCATATGCCAGCTGGTGTGTTACACCGAAAGGCGGTTATACCAGCTATTCAGATACAGGTACAGATGTCATAGATTTGAGACAGGTGCAAAGGTTTAAAAATCACACCTCAGACCTACAACATACGGCAATATCACTGCGGAAAAAAAGCACTATCATTGGAGAACCCTGTGTCACACAATGTATCATCTCTACATATACATGTAGCAGTGAGAAGCAGAACTCCAGTCAGAAGCTCTGATGAAGGTGTCTGATAGACACCAAAACGTAAGCTACATGTAGGTAAGTCAATATTGGTTGTGTAAAAGAAAACCCCAATATGCTATACTTAACTAACCTGATGAAACTATTTTCGAATGTATGTCACACAGTACTTACCAGGTGCTCTCACTGAGAAGAGTCATGACTTCATCCAAGTTTTCCTCAGACACGATGTCTTCATATGTGATGAGCATCTCGTACAGCTGGTTAGCTGTGTTCTTCCTAACCTGGGTGCAAACAGAAACCAAACACATGTTATCCAGAAGTCAAGGAAAAGGATGTTGAGCTTTTGTTACACTGTAGATTTATCTAATACTTGCAGCACCTTAATTCTGCAGGAATATCTTAAAGTTTGGGGTGTTTACAGTTTGTGGTAAAACTTCGACGCCAGGAGGCGAAAGCTGACGCACTCTTTTGCGGCTCGCCTCCTGGCGCCCGGTAACGGCATCATCAGTTTGCTCTTACGCTCTGATGCCTTCCCAAGAAGTCAGTTCTGGCGTCGATACTGCCAGTTGGTATGCAGACCTTAAATAGGCCCCGTTTCTTTTATCCTAGACATTGTATTTTTAAATTTATGTATTTTGTGTTGTCTATGTTGTCTATGGGCTTTGCCTGAATCAAACAATAAATAATGAATAATAAAATAAATAAAAACAAGTCTGTAGTACGATAGGAATACTTTGTGAATGCATTTTGTGGTACTTGCTGTGGAGAGATCCATAATAAAACCTCCGTCTCCAAAGACTATGATGTAAACTGCGCAAAATGGGATACTATATAGTAGTACAGTTCCTTAACAAAGCCAATGCAAACACACAAAGTACCAGTAGAAAGGTACCAGAAAAGGTTGTTGTAGCCCTTTTCTCAATGGCCAGTTCTGTCAAGGCACCTCCTACAACTGAAAAAATTGTACAGAACTGTATATCATATAAGCAGACCAAAACAGCTCTTCTGTCTGTGACAATACCTTAGGATACTTGTGGCCCAACATGACCAGTAGCTGGAACAGAACCTTCTCCCGGATGGTTCCCGGGAACTGCACCAGCTGACAGAAGACTCCGATGGCGGCCAGCAGCTTCTGTGGGTCTCCAGACTTCGCAATCTCCTTCTTACACAGGTCCAGTAGGGCCAGGGAGAACGGATGGCTGAGGGGAAGGTAGATAGAAAGATGTTTTAGTAAATGTACTGCAGTACCATGCTTATTTGCTAGGTGCCTCTCCATCCCTGCTGGCGAAACCACCTGCCTCATTTTTTATAACAACAATAAAAGGGGTCCTCAATTATAATATTTTCTTCTATTATTGCAAGTTTATTAAAAGTCTCTCAATAATACTAGTACTTTGGTCTTCGTTAAAAACTGTTAGTAGTGACATGTATCTTGTTCTACATGCATTTTGGGTATATATATAACTATACATATACATGTATGTAGGTTGAGAGACTCTCCTCTTGTAGTATTGCTGATTAGAATCATTGGAGTCTCTACCACGACATATATAATGTACTTAGTAAAAATCAAGACAATTCTTGACTTACTCTTCTTCTTCAGAAAACAGCTCAAAACAGCCGCTGCCCAATAGGAAGTCCAGCATCTTCAGCAGAGGAAGGGAGACCCTGAAAACAAACAAACAAACAAACAAATAAATAAACAAACACTGGCTTATCAACAACTGGATGGTAACTCATTTTTTCAGATTTTCATGTATGTAAATCAGGCAAACAAATACTTGAAATATTATTTGTTTCAGAATCTACAATAAACATACAACGCATTTCTAGTAGTTTAACATTAATTGGAAAAGGTATCTACATTGTAGTAAACAGTGTCGGCCCCTGCCGTGGTTTTAGTGATGGGTCCATACCAGATACTAATGCCCTAATGTTGACGTCACTTAAAGAAGCCACATTGAAAGCCTCACTGGGTCAGTTTATCGAAGAAGACCAGAGTGACTGCTCAACAGCTCTAGATGAGAACAATTCTTTGTGTTGAAACAAAACGTTTTAACTAAGTATGTAACTACGTATACCAACAAAGAAAAACTTTCATGACTGGTGAATAATGATATAACTGACCTGTCGACTTTGAGGTAGTTATTGAAGATAGTGAGTAGAGTATCACTGATGGCTGTCAGACCCTCCTCGTTGTCTGATATCTTCAGCATGTAGCCGTTCAAAGACTGGCTGGAGTGTTTCACCTGCAGGTTGGATAGGCAGAGGGCCAACGGTCGATAGAATGTTAGGCCAAGTTGATTTGATTATAATTTTATGGATTGCATCCTCTGGGAACCCCAAAACTGATACAAGCGATGTGAATGGAAAAAAAAAAGTTTGGCAAAAAAGTTTATGAAATCTATGTCGTCATAAAGGTTGAACAAATTACTGAACACACAGAGTATGGTATGGCAAATAATAGACTCTTCAGTTGCATTTCTTCACATTTTCTTTTCTTCATCAGGATGTAAATCCATAAGAGTTTGGTCATTTCTTATTTTGATGAAGATGACTGTCACAGTGGTCATTGAAAATTTGATCCACAGTACCCTTGTGTTGGAATAAAGTTCAGCATTGTACTATGGTAACTACAAACACAGATGAACTTCCATGACATTACAAAGCTACAGATGAAGAAGAACAGTGAGATTACCAGTGACTCTGTCAGCCCGCCCACAGACACAGTGAGGCCCAGTAACACAGGGTAGGTGGTAGGACTTCAGAGACAGGACTGGCATCAGTTTGGGGTAACACTCCGCTGCACTGGCCCAGTTCAGGGTCTCCTTGTCTTTCCTGTAGACATTTATAGAAGATGTAGTGAGGACATATATACTTACTTAAAGGTACAATGAATAAAGAGACTCTTTTTGTGTTCTATTCAGCCGATGTTTGGGTGACCATCAGTGCCCTTCCTCAGGGCAATTCTGACTGGTTCACATTGCACTGCAGCACAGGTGTCACTGCTATAGATGCTACATTTGGGAATGCATCTAATTGCATTGACACCAATGTGCTGTGCAATGTGAACAAGACAGTACAGTGAACTGGGTTCACGACTGGTTCTACATATTTATCTAGTACATTTTGTACCTAGTCCCTTGATTTCCAGGTTCACATTGCACTGAAACATTTCCCCCTTCACTTCCTGTAACTGTATTCTTACTAATAACTATGGACATACAAGCAAACACATGGAAATTCAACCCTCCATATACCGAGGTAAAAATCATCATAACGTTACAAGCTACATACTCCGGAAACAGACTGAGCAGCTCCTCCCTGTGTGGTATGTGGGGAACAGGTGGGTCGTGGTACAGCAGGCGTAGCAGTGTCTCCCCGGCTACCACCCTCGCTCGGTCGATCTTCTCTCCAGCCTGATGCAGGACGCTGAAAATCGTCTTCTCACAACTGCAGGAAAGACAATGGCACTGACCAATGAGATAGCTTAAAACAACCTGAGGATGGAACCAATCAGGTACAATGTAGCTTGATACAAGCACCAATCATGTAGCTTGTTACAACCTGATGATTGCACAAATCACATGACTTGTTACAACTGATGGCAGCATGTTATGATGGCACCAATCAGGTTGCTTCTTACAAACTAATGATGGCACCAATCAGATTGCTTGTTACATCCTGATGATAGCACTAATAGTAATCAGGTTGTTTGTTACAACCTGATGATGGCACCAATCAGGGTGCTTGTTACAACCTGATGATGGCACCAATCAGGTTGCTTGTTAGTTCCTGATGATGGCACCAATCAGGGTGCTTGTTACATCCTAATGATGGCACCATTCAGGTTGCTTGTTACATCCTGATGATGGCACCAATCAGGTTGCTTATTACAAACTAATAATGGGACCAATCAAGTTGCTTGTTACAAACTAATGATGGCACCAATCAGGTTGCTTATTACAAACTAATGATGGGACCAATCAAGTTGCTTGTTGCAACCTAATGGTGGCACCAATCAGGTTGCTTGTTACACCCTAATGATGGCACCAATCAAGTTGCTTGTTACAACCTAATGATGGCACCAATCAGGTTGCTTGTTACAATCTAATGATGGCACCAATCAGCTTGTTACAACCTAATGATGGGACCAATCGGGTTGCTTGTTACAACCTGATGATGGCACTAATTGGGTTGCTTGTTACAACATAATGATGGCACCAATCAGGTTGCTTGTTACAACCTGATGATGGGACCAATCAGGTTGCTTGTTTCAACCTGATGATGGGACCAATCAGGTTGCTTGTTTCAACCTGATGATGGGACCAATCAGGTTGCTTGTTACAACCTGATGATGGGACCAATCAGGTTGCTTGTTACAACCTGATGATGGGACCAATCAGGTTGCTTGTTACAACCTGATGATGGCACCAATCAGGTTGCTTGTTACAACCTGATGATGGGACCAATCAGGTTGCTTGTTACAACCTGATGATGGGACCAATCAGGTTGCTTGTTACAACCTGATTATGGGACCAATCAGGTTGCTTGTTACAACCTGATAATGGCACCAATCAGGTTGCTTGTTACAACCTGATGATGGGACCAATCAGGTTGCTTGTTACAACCTGATGATGGCACCAATCAGGGTGCTTGTTACATCCTAATGATGGCACCAATCAGGTTGCTTGTTACAACCTGATGATGGGACCAATCAGGTTGCTTGTTACAACCTGATGATGGCACCAATCAGGTGCTTGTTACATCCTAATGATGGCACCAATCAGGGTGCTTGTTACATCCTAATGATGGCACCAATCAGGGTGCTTGTTACATCCTAATGATGGCACCAATCAGGTTGCTTGTTACAACCTGATGATGGGACCAATCAGGTTGCTTGTTACAACCTGATGATGGCACCAATCAGGGTGCTTGTTACATCCTAATGATGGCACCAATCAGGGTGCTTGTTACATCCTAATGATGGCACCAATCAGGGTGCTTGTTACATCCTAATGATGGCACCAATCAGGTTGCTTGTTACAACCTGATGATGGCACCAATCAGGTTGCTTGTTACAACCTGATGATGGGACCAATCAGGTTGCTTGTTACAACCTGATTATGGGACCAATCAGGTTGCTTGTTACAACCTGATAATGGCACCAATCAGGGTGCTTGTTACATCCTAATGATGGCACCAATCAGGGTGCTTGTTACATCCTAATGATGGCACCAATCAGGTTGCTTGTTACAACCTGATGATGGACCAATCAAGGTTGCTTGTTACATCCTAATGATGGCACCAATCAGGGTGCTTGTTACATCCTAATGATGGCACCAATCAGGTTGCTTGTTACAACCTGATGATGGCACCAATCAGGTTGCTTGTTACATCCTGATGATGGGACCAATAAGCTAGCTTGTTATAACCTAATCTTTGCAAAGTCCTTAGTCAAGCAAGGAGGTTGGTCCAACTTAGTTGCTGGACTGGCCTGGAGTCCAGTCTTCTTAGCTTTGGTCCGTTTTCCAACAAGATCCGAAGTAGCGGGGTAGAAGATCTTGGGAAGCGGACGGAAGCTAACAAGGCTGGACTCCAGGCTATTAAAAGACATAACGTAATCATCATTCGCTTACTAAGATCTGATGCCTTTTACAGGAACTCTTTCTTCCGAAACACATTACTATGCATCTAGGTTTTCTTTCTGTATTGTTTGTATGTCTCTAGAGTTTTGTATTATTTTAATGTTGTAATGTGTTCTATGAGTTTTTTTACCTGAAATAAAGAATAAATGTATTGCTGATTGAGTAGATGTTAAGAGAAATTGACAAGACTTACTATTCCTGCTTTATCAGACCGGCATCCACCTGTAAGGCCTGGGAGGTGATCTCTGCCAATCCTACAACAGCCGCCTCACGTACCCTACACACAAACAAACAATCAAACCAAAAACAGTTAACATCTGTGTCCATAATATCACCATAGTCCACAATATCACCACCTTGAGAAAAAGTGTGCTTAAAGATATTTTTACTACAACATACCCCAGGTATGTACATTTGAGGTGTGCAGGAGTGCATACCAAAAGTATGTTGCAGTAAAAATATCTTAAAGCACACTATTTCTCAAGGTGGCGATATTATGGACCCTGGTGATATTATGGACACGGATGTTACTATTTAGTCTTACAATTGAGCAAAACCGCTACAACTCTGATTTGATCCTACTAAGCTCATGCCAAGACATCCTACCAGATACCAGAATAAAAAAAAGAGCTTCTGAGCCTTGAACAGCATTGATGTTTCTTTCACCTCATAACATACATTGTAAGCTAGTACACACCGAAATGGATGATTTAAACTACAATTTCCAGTCTTCAACTTTGACATATCACCCACAATACAGCTTGCATGCACACTTTAACCTGTGAACCGGCTTATACAGGACTGGTCCACTCACCACGTGCCTACGTCTCCCCTCCTGTCAGTGGTATAGTCCTCCATGGCCAGGAGGAACGTGTCGAACACACTGTTGATGTTGTCCTCACAGATGACACAGTCAGGGGAGCCCCCTTTCTCTATGCCAACGGTACTGCAGATTCTGAAATCAGAAAACAATGTAGACATGTCTTTTAAAGAGTGCTGTATGTTAGAAGAACGTTATGTGATGGGGAGGAGAGAGTATTCTTGTTACAAATGTCATCAGAACACCATTATAAACAAAAACATAAGGCAAAGGTACTAAATAGTTTCATCAAAGTGGTAAGTAACTGAATAAAGAAACTGTTTTTACATAACCAGGAGGTTTATTCTGCCGCTTTTTCCACACCTGTGCTGTCTAATGTGAACCGAATTGAAAACAGAATTGCCCTGAGGAAAGTGACAGACTGTCACCAAAACGTCGGCTGAATAAACCTCTTGATTGTGTAAAAAGAGACTCCCTTTATTTGGTACCAAACCTTTGTGGGGTCGTGTGGCGCAACGGCAGCGTGCGCGACTCGGAATCAAGAGGTCCCGGGTTCGAGTCCTGACATGCCACCGATCTTGTGCCCTTGGGAAAGGCACTTTACACGACTTTCCCCACTAGACTCAAGTGAAAATGAGTATTGTCTGTCCTGTATTTGTTTCTATGTGTGGGACACAACACCAGCAACAGCTGCCTCTGTTCCGCGTGTATTGCACTGTTGCAATTTCAATAAATCAAACCTTATTATAGACTTGATGGCATCTCTCCTGGCCTCAGCCATGCTCATGTCCTTTGGTGTGATCTTTGTTGCTTGGATCAGCCCAGACAACAGCTACAGTGAACAAAAGGTAACAAAATTCTTCATTAGGCCACACCAATTTAATTTCTTGGTTAACGGATTCGCCGCTTCATTTTTTCTGATTTGCAAATAAAAATAAACATCCAGAATCAACTGCAAAATGCTCATATTTTGCCCTGAACCGTTGAAAACAGTCCTTTTCATCCTAGTTGTTACAGTTATTCCATCTTTCAATGCAATGGTATCATTGAAAGTTCAAAATTCATTGTTTAAATTTTGAACCAGCCTGGTGTGTTGACTTCATGGCTCCTATCGTACCATTCTGGGCCATAATAGGATGCCTAGGCCTGTTTTTATTTTCTTTTTTTTTTCGCCCGCCCACTCCATTATTTTTCTAGAAAAATCTGTTAACCAAGAAATTAAATTGGTGTGGCCTTAGGTCTATGACAAAATGGTTCAGTTTATGTACTTTTATTGTACTGCAATGTAAAATACTGGATACATTAGTAAAGTGGATTCATTCCTAGATCAAGCTAACTGGCCTTAGCACATGCCATCTTGCACATGCAGTCGTTCCTTGGTAAGACATCTGGAGCCACATAGTTCCTGTTTAGATAGGCTGAATAAAATTTCTAAACAGGAGCTATGCAGCTGTAGATGTCTTACTGAGGGACGACTGCATGTGTGAGATGTTGGCTAGCTTGAGGAATGAATCCACTTTACTATGTAATGTATATTGTTCTGTTACTTTAGAATGTGACTGGTGGTTGCTGAAAGAATCTCTCACCTTCTTCAGCTTGCCAGCGATCATGAACTTGGGAAGATGTCCGAGAGCCAGGATGAACCCACACCTGGCATAGGCCATGTCATTCTGCAGCTGTCCCAGGTAGCTGTCAAGGACTGGGTCTGTCAAGGGAAGGTTAATCACATTGAGAACCGGATTCCTTGAACATAAATGCTGGACTGCCATGGCTTGCTACCATGGCTTGCTATCGTCAGAGGTCTCTCAACACATCCACGGTTGTCACTTTTTTTTTGTTACTCCTGCACGTTTGATTTCTCTTATTATGTTTGATTTACCTTATTTACTTGTATTTATTTTGTGAGATCTTGGTTCATTATGTACAGATTTGCTTATTTGCATTTACGAGCTGTTTTGAGTTCACTTATTTGTTCACCATTATTGTATATAGCCTAACTTTATTTATGTTCATATTTTGTTTGGATTCTGTTATCTGTACCTTTGATTCTCTTTTGTTTATGTATAATTTATTGTGTCGTATAAGCCCACACGGGCTGGACGCCGGATAGCGCACGACACGGAAATAAAGTCTCATTCATTCATTCATTCATTCAAGTCTCATTCCACACTGAATCACCAGACCATACTGTTTCACTGGAAAAAGTCGACAGTGGACGATTACACTGCCTGGCACATTTGACGAATTGCTGAAGTCACATATAACAAACATATCCGTATCAACATGCCTGTCCCTGGTGCTGAATGCCATCCACACACAGATGAACATGCCTGTTCTTGGTGCTGAACACCATCCCCACACATAGGTGAACATGTCTGTCCTTGGTGCTGAACACCATCCACACACAGGTGAACATGTCTGTCCTTGGTGCTGAACACCATCCACACACAGGTAAACATACATATCCCTGGTACTGAACACCATTAACACATAGGCAGACATGCCTGTCCTTGTTGCTGAACACTATCCACACACAGGTAAACATGTCTGTCCTTGGTGCTGAACACCATCCACACACAGGTAACATGCCCTGTCCTTACACACACACAGGTACACATGCCTGTCCTTGATGCTGAACACCATCCACACACAGGTAAAATTGCCAGTCCCTGGTGCTGAATGCCATCCACACACAGGTAAACATGCCTGTCCTTGGTGCTGAACACCATTGATACACAGGTAAAAACATAATGTAGCACATTTAGAAGCTGTATAACCTTGAATGTCAGGCAGAGCTGTCCCCTCCTCTGTTCTGTAGTACTCATCGCACAGAGCTGCGAATCCTGCGATGGCATGGTCCTAAAATGCAGAAGAAAAAACTCATTATTACCATTACACCACAGAATGGTATACATGTAGATTAGGGATGGCAAAATACTATTGTATTTAGGATTGAAGACTTAGAATCTGAATGTTTTGGGTTTGAATACCTAGGAGGCCCCAATACTGTGCAATTGGGAAAGGCACTTTACACCTATTTCCTCACCAAACTCAGGTGAAAATGAGTACCAAGCTTCGGCTAGAGTCATCTTCTTGTATGGAATGTAAAGCAGGAGGTCCAGTGCTTAAGGAAAGCCATACCTTGAGCACATTGTTAATGAACCCACCACATATATTGCATAGAGTGTTGAGAGATACAGTTTGGTCTCAACCGGCTTGAACTTACATGTACAGTAACTGTACAGAACTGGTGTGTTGCGTGAAACAAAAGATATTCTTTTGTGTGTCATATACATGAACTTTTCTTATATATACACGTACTATGTTTAGCCTCTGTATCTTAAGCCACAATCATGGGAATGATCTTTTAGTAAGTTTGTTAGTTGTCTCCTTACCTGAATGGCCACCTGGTATTCTGCCAGCAGTATCTTCAGAGTGTCATCTATCACTTTCTGCCACACACCTGAACAGTGCAACAACGTTGGGAGCTCAGATACATGCAATACCAGAAAAGATCAGTAGGTGGCAGCACTGCACTAGGCTAAGCAATAATAAAAGACACAGCAGTATATAGTCTGCCAATGTTGGAGATCAGAAATATGCAATACCAGAAAGGATCAGTAGGTGGCAGCACTGCACTAGCTAAGCAATAATAAAAGACAGCAGTGTGTCCTCTATTACAGTCTGCCATACACCTTCTTGGGCATTGCAACAACGTTGGAGATCAGAAACATGCAATACCAGAAAAGATCAGTAGGTGGCAGCAATGCACTAGCTAAGCAATAAAGGACAAGGAAGCTTTTAATTGGTAATACTTACTGATAGTAGGGCTCCCAGCCAGTGGCAGCTTGGATAGGGACAGCTTCTCTATGAGACTGCATGCTGTGAAATACAAGTAGAAATATGTGAATTTGGGCCTAATTTGTATAACTGCTACAAAATATGCTAAGATGTTGACATGGGTCGGGGACACTGAGGGAAGTCAAAAAGGTCAAAAATGGTTCTAGAAAAATCTCATTTTCTATCTTCGATTTCCAGCTATAACTTTTGCTTTACGACAGCCAGTGGCAAAATGCATTAGACAGAATAAATCAAGAACTTTTACAAAAGTTCAAAAAGATCTTGCTCATGTTGGAATTCTTGGGTCAACAGTTTTGGTTACGCCTCAGAAGCAGAGACATTTTCAATAACTACAGTAACTAGAAAAATACACTGCCTACCTGCAGGCCTCATATAGTCACAACCAATCCCTCTGCAATAAGAAATGACAAAAAATAGTATTAGTAACAAACTTAATCCATTTATCCATAAAGTACACATTATTAATGTCATTTAATGTCTTTCTCAAATTGTATTAAAAAATCAAATGTAGAGAATACTCACATCTCAGCATTTGATCAAAATTTTTCCATTATCAAATGATTCTATTTCATAAAAACAAGAAATTGTGTTTTCTAACAAACGTACCTGTACAACTGAGCTGCCTCAAGCTAGAATGGTACAGGGAAAAAGGTGTTAGTATTAGTTAAATAACTTTTATTTTCTTTCATAGTTTTATTATAGTTACTATCTTTACATTGAAATGCAGTCAAACCTGGTCTCAATAACAACTCAAGAGACAGAGGAAAATGGGTTTGTTGTCCAGAAAAAAGCAAGTTAATACACACACACACACACACACACATATATATATACACAGCATACAACTTAGTTCCGAGGAAACATGTCTACAAGAGATGCCAGTTTATAACCTCAATATTGCTACATATTAAAAAACATTAAAAAAACTAAACCCGGTCCGGTAATTATTGCTTAACCACCAGTCTAACAATCAAATTGGCCAGGTTTGACTATATTGCTGTATCACTCAATAATAGTACCCCGGATGGCTTTAGGTGTTTCCTACCATGCACTACCAGGTAAAATTTTCCTGCCATAAATTGATTTTTGCATCCGAAATGACATAAAGCTGTCATTTCTGGACATGATTTGTTAAACTTTGATCACTTTCATCTAGTCTTCATTCTTTTGATTCAGTGCTTTTCTGAACGCGTGAACTTTTTGATTTGCCGGCTGTATAAACACATCAAAGGTTTTGTTCTTTTGATTTAATGGTTTTGTGAGCACATCAAAGTTTTCTGTTCTTTTGATCTGCTGTGTTTCTAAAGAGATTAAGTCTTTACTCTTTAGAATTACTGCCTTTTTGGTGATTTTATGTTCAGTTTTATGGCAACCTCTCCAAACTAGATTCGTGATGCAGCAAAAATTTGTTTCCAATGTATTACTACAGTGTACTGCAGAATACTAGTAGTTTCAACACTTAATTAAAGAACATATAAAACCACCATGAAAACCTCTTTTTCCCAGTCCTACCACAATATAAAACCACCACAAAAGTAAATTGAAAAGCAAAATGAAGTTACAGTAGTTTGGTGAGCCCTAAAGAAACTAGCTGAAAGTTTGGTGGAGAAAATCACATTGGACAGGTAGAGAAAAAAAAGGAATTCCAGACTATACAATTCATGTATATTATATATGTATGTATGAATGTTTTATTTTGCTGAGTGAAAGACAAAAGGAAACACTGAAATTCGATACCTTCTCAGGAACATTTGCTAACCCTTCCCAAATGTTCCTGTCCAGAACGTCTGTTATATTCTGGTTGTTCTCTACCCCAAGTTTGAAACCTTAAGTTTTGTTTTGCTGAGTGAAAAGACGAAAGAAAACACTGAAATTTGATACCTTCTCAGGAACATTTGCCAACCCTTCCCAAGTGTCCCTATCCAGAATTTCTGTAATAGCCTGGTTCTTCTCTACCTCAAGTTTGAAACCTTAAGTTTTGTTTTGCTGAATGCAAAGACAAAAGGAAACACTGAAATTTGATACCTTCTCGGGAACATTTGCTAACCCTTCCCAAATGTCCCTATCCAGAATTTCTGTAATAGTCTGGCTGTTCTCTACCCCAAGTTTGAAACCTTAAGTTTTGTTTTGCTGAGTGAAAAAACAAAAAGACAACACTGAAATTTGATACCTTCTCAGGAACATTTGCCAACTCTTCCCAAATGTCCCTGTCCAGAATGTCTGTAATAGCCTGGTTCTTCTCTACCCCAAGTTTGAAACCTTAAGTTTTGTTTTGCCATGGAGTTAAAAGAGAGACTCTTTTAACTACACCATGGTTTTGCTGAGTGAAAAGACAAAAGGAAACGTCGAACTTGTATACCTTCTCAGGAACATTTGCCAACCCTTCCCAAATGTCCCTGTCCAGAACGTCTGTAATAGTCTGGTTGTTCTGCAGCCCAAGTTTGTGCAGGGCGTGAACAATCTGACCACAGGCCAGGATGGCACCACTACGGGTGGGCAAGTCCATTCCTGTGCAGAGGGGGAGCAGCTTGGGGAGTACTGCAGGCAGGGAAACAAACAGAGAAAAGGTTAAAAACATTTCAACCTGTTAACCCAGTGTTCCAGGGAGCAAAGACAGCTCTCAACTTTAACAGCTTTCAAAGACTCTCTGTGAGTGGAACCTGCAGCTATCAACCTATGGACTTGAGTGGCAAATGTTTTACGATTGTAATGTATATTGAGTTGTGACTGTAATGTATATTCTTATTGAGTGTTTTCCCATGTATATTGCGTATTTTATCCCAGAGATACCTGAAAAATAGGTCAAAAGACCTGAGTGTACTCCTCTTGTAAAATAAAATAAACTAAATGAAAATGAAATGTTGACATCAGACTTCAGAGAAGCCACATGACAAGTCTTACTGGTTGAATGACTGGTCAAAAACTCTAGATGAGAACAATTCTTCGTGTTGGTACAAAAGATTTATCTTTAAACATCTACCAAGTTCACAGAAGACACTTTCATGACATTCTGTTACCCCTTTATTATTGGATTAATAAGATAGAATTAACCTTTATTAAATAAAGAGAAAAAATTTTACTTGTTTTTTGCTTCTCATGTAATTTAGAGCTCTCCGTAGTGCTGATTTATTTGTTGTTATTTTATTGGCATAAAAGAACATCTAGAGTTATGACAGGCAGTTTTTATCTATTACTTTTATACTCAGATTTGCTTGTAAAATTTCCATATATATTAATCACCTAGGGATATCATAACTTTCACATTTTTAAGCCTGCATCATGCCACTGGTCAACAACTTTATGCAAAGTACAAATGCTGGGCAGAAGGCGACTGCTATAAAGCATTAGAAGCAACTTGAGCAAAGTCTACAGTACAGTGAATTCTCTGACAGTGTACAGAATACCTTGAAGGTTTTGTACATATGCTCCTTTGAATGTAAAAAGTTAAGGACTACATATACTATTAAAGCTGTGTGTGAATGAACTTTCCATTCAAATTGGAATGTTGCATTAGATGAAGATGAGAATAATTATTATTATTTTAATTGAGAAAAGATGTTTCAGTTTCAGTGTATGAGGAAAGCCACACCTGAAACACATTAAAGAGCCCACCACACGTATCGAAAAGTCACGAATGTGAGTGATTTAAACTTTACAGTTTGGTGTCCAGATTGACATTTCAAAAAGGCGATAGTCACCTGTTATGTCAATGATCAATCCTTCCACAAACGTGGCAAATCTTACATAGATAGATAAATAAATCGATAAACTGTGAGCTGTAAATCATTAGATGATAAACAGTAGCTTTTATGAAACAAATCACTTCTGGCCAGTCAGACAGAACTGACTCATGCCACACTTGACTGACCCTGCAAGAAGGCATTAAAGGGCTTGGAAACTCTATTTATCTACATACTGAGTTGAAACCACACTATCCCAATGTATTTTGACCCTCATGGAGCAAAAATTCCCAAAATTCTTACGGAAAATGGTTACTGGAACGTACCTGGGCTGATTTTTAGGGTACCACCCAGCAGTTTTGAATGCCCAAAATATGAAATGCTGATTTAAATGTGCTAATATAAAGCAGTATGTGTCAATATCAACAAGATGTCCTTATTCAGAATATTTCTAGTTTTGCTGTCCTGAAATTGCATTGAATGCCTTTAACACAAATGTTCATCCAAGTAAGAAAAAAATTGCCCTCCCAACGCGAGGCATCGTGGCCCTTGATCAAGTCTTCGTGAGAGACGTGATGGAACGCGCTCGGCTGAACGCATATCGCTATTCGGGGTCGTGTTTCAAACCTAATGACAGGATTATGGCCACTTATCAAAGTTAATGTCCATAAGTTACAAAGTGATTATAACTCATGTGAACTTAGCTGGCCTGAACAGTATACGGGGTGAGGTGGCAACAGTTGAGCTATATTTCAACTCAGTGTGTGGGAAGGGTGGGGTGGGGGGCACCAATGCATTCGTTTGTAGGCTTATTAGTTAGCCGATTAACTACGATTAACTACCATTTTCCAACAGAGGCAATAGTAAATGAAAGCTCACTAGAAGCAAGAGCTATGGTATCATAATACTGAAAACACCTGGCTCTGGACCAAGAGGTTGGGAGTTAGAATCTAAAAAGTTGTTGCTTACACAGGATACTAGAATTAGTCGCAGTCCTTAGGACAAGATATTCAGCTGTGGTCCACTGTTTATTGTGTTTGTCGAAAAGAGCTAGGGAGAATTTCCCTGGTACAATTATTCTGTAAATAGCGTTTGTCTTCTCTGCTCAGGTTTTTAGCAAAACTGGATCGAGATCTCTTTCCTAAATTCCTTTCCTTTCCTACATTGTAACTATTCCAATGTTACCATTAATTTACTTTCATATGCCTATTCTGCCACAGAAATGACAGGAACATCAGTTAGCCTCTGCAGCAGGCTTATAGAACTGGGGGTTTGGTGGTCTTCGGCTGTTTTCTGATTAGCCCAGTTCTAACGGAGGTAATTCAACCAGGCCGGCTATGTTTTTATATGTAATCAGAAAATAGCCACATAAGCTTCCAAAGACCCTGAAAACCCCCAAAACCCCCAGTTTTTTGGCATGCTGTGGAGGCTAAGCAACAGTGAGCAATCCCTTCTCTGCAAAGGTCAACGACCAACTTCTCCTCCTGCCTGTACTGAGTAACATACATCACCTTCACCCTGTATTTACCCTAATGGACTTTAATTTTCACCCTAAGTGGTAGGACATGTTTTAACTCTCAATTACACGGACACAAGCAACCGCGCCGGAGACAATCCGTCAGGAACGTATCACGGCTAAGCAAATTCCCCATTAAGATTTAATAAGTGGTGGATCGCATTAAGAGGTCGTTTGGGAAGTATCAACTTAAACATGAAGCGACGTTGAGCAATATTACAACGTTTCATTTCATTTATTTATTTTACCAGCAGAATACACTCAGGTTACATTAAAAAAAAAAAACCTGTTTTTCAGGTAGTGCTGGGCATACAAGTACAAATACTGACAAACATTATACATTACAAGAAACAGACATAATCCAAAATGACATACAGTATAACAAAGGAACTCATTCATTTTCCACTATACATTCATGACATCACAATCCCTGACTGAATTGTACCAGTTGCTTAAGTGACAAGTTATTCCACAGTTGGGGGCCGTAGAATCTTAAGCTCCCCTTGTAGCCGTTCAAACTTGCTACAGGGCAGTTCAACGTGAGATGAGGAATTAGTGCCCAGTATTAATGTTCGTCATCAACATGGCTTCCATACATTTTCCTCACAAATTGTATTATTGTTAATGACTTCTGACCTCCAAAACTGTATACTAGTATTATCTGGTTTTAATACTTTCGTAGGAAGCCTTGTACTTAAGTCTGTTAGAAATTTTGTATTGTTTTTGATGGATCTTAGTCTAATGTGGTACTTGTTAGCCTATTTGCTTATATTGCGCATGTTTAATTTGTGTATCTTTCGGCACCCGATATCAGCCATGCTGCCTGGGTGGCCACCGTATTGCCTCGCTGCAATTGAATTAAAATAAAATAAAATGACTTCCTTCAGTTGGTATCTCTTACTCTTCTAGCTGCAGTTTTGTGCAAGTGATTATTCATATCAGGTGGTACTAGTATATAAGAAACGACAAACTTCATCCCATGTGTTAACCAACAAATCCAGTGCAGCACTTTTTTTTAAAATACGATATTTGTCGATTTCGTCTATCACTCTTCTGGGTGCTGCACAACGTCAAATATTCCTCATTCTAATGACACAGTGTTCATGCATACTGCCATGTGATATCTGTAATTATGGTGGATAGGTGGTGATTTTGACAGTTGATTAGGGTTACCCAGCACACAACGAGTGGTTTTGAGTGGGGTGGTATGTGGAGGAATTCAGGAAGAGGTGCAATACCTGATTGACTTGCATCATACAATTCACTCCATAGTTCAAATACATTGAATGATATTCAATTGGAAAACACTTCCCGGAGGTCTGTGAACTTGAAGGTCACGAAAACCCAAAATAATAGACAATAATAGAAGTTTGAAATTTCTGATTTCTGAAATATGTACGGTTTGTATAGCAGGAGTTAATTTAAAAGAATTAGTTGTACCACACAATGAAGTATGACTGATACACTCTGTGAGAACTGACTTTGTTTAGAAACAAGGTGTTCATTTTGCAATCACCTCAACATTCATTTACCTTTTTGTCTCAGAGCCATTCAGTTTGTTTTCACGCCTTGATTGCTCCAAGGAAGGGATGTTGTTGATGAGCACCTTTATTAAAATCTGACTCGCTGCAAACCCAGACGAGCCTTGTTTTGTCTCACCGTTGATTACAGTCCTTTTTGTGCCCCCCGAGGGTTCACACACCCACAACGCACACAGGACTCAAACAAAGGCTGGGCTTCATCAGCAGCACCCAAAGGGCACATCTGATAAACCTTTCATCACGGAGTCATTAGCAATGGCTTAGCCGCCACGGGCCGAGTCTTCAATTTGGCCGGGTTTCTCCTGATTCTTGATTAATGACAGTCGTCGGACGGAACGGAATAAAAGCCGGCGGTAGAAACAAAGGCTGGTTCTGCCCATCTGCCCCGCTGGTGATCAATTACTGCAGAGTCTGCCGACTCTGTCTGATGTTATTTCTCTCTGTGGTTCCATGTGGACCCACAGCTTTTTACATGAGCGCAACTTTTGGGAAACAACTTGGAGGAAATTAAGTTGAACCTTGCATAATTTTGCAGTATTCAGTCTGTAGCATGGAAGTTATCTGTTTTTGTTCCCATTTTTTTCGGGGTAGCAAGTGCAAGGACCCTCGATAAACAAAATACATGGCACCAAGTTAGTCAGACTTGGCCTATTCCGGCTTTTAAATAACCTAAACAAAAGAAACAAAAAGCTACCTTACATTGTATATATTGAAGTTTGTGAGTAGTGAAAGGTATAGGTACAATGTAATTCAGAATTTGACTGTAAAGTTGTTTTTTGTGTTACACTCAAACTGGTCCTCTGTTTGATGTTACTTCTCTCTGTGGTTCCACCCACAGCTTTTTGCAAAGGCACAACTTTTGGGAAACAACTTGAAGGAAATATTAACTTGAACCTTGCATAAGTTTCACGTTCATAGAAGGTTGACATCAATACTAGTGGAAGTTTCAAGCAGGCTCACTCAATAACCAATGACAAGGATCCAAGGCTTTTCCATAACATTATATATATAGACAGCTTAAGTTTGAAGGACAGCATGATTGTCCTCAAACATGTCCTCAGTTTGCAATAATACGACGATCTCATGATTTGTGTGACCAGACCCTAATCTCACTCAGAGAGGTTAGAAGTAGTTCTTACCTTGAGCCTTTCATGCCTTGTTTTGTCCTAACCTTCAGTATATTACAAAAAAAATAGAAACACCACCGTACTGGTTTTTGCCATGTAGTCTGGACATTTTGGAGTCAGGTTGTGCAGCGCCTCTGATGTCAGAGCTCTGAGGGATCTGTAGAGAGACAAACAGAAAAAAAAGGAAGCTATCAGTTTAGCAGTATACACGTCACGCTAAATATACAATGATTGAAACATATTATATAATTCAGGCCTTTAAGCCTTACTGGTAGTAATTCTTTGATTTTTTTGGGTACTTCCTTTCGTGGCAGGCAGTTTTTGTGCTGTATTTAAGTTTGCAGTTGAAACAATTCCGTATTACAGTACCTGTTAGCAATACAAAATAATATTAACTAAATGCAACTTTTATTCACAACTTCATGACTTTGCAGTGGAGCAGTTGAAAATCGTAAATCTAAAATAAAACTGGAAACATTTTAAGATCTTTTACTGTATTTCACCTCAAGTACCCCCTCTCCCCCCTAGCAACATCTCATAGCCATGAACTGGAGCAAAGAAGGGTCAAAGATTTTCATTTATTACACCAGTGGGGATCGAACGCCCCCGAAAACACTGCTTGTTAGTTAACTCTAGGTCAAAACTTCTGTGTGAGGGCAAGGCAAGGAGGGCATGCTGCAATTCCAGCTATCCCTACAGGCCTTAACCCTGGTGAATTTATGGCTGATTTTCCACAATGTGGCCAATAGTCTCGGAAATTTCATCTACATGCACATAATTTTGAATGACGGATTAATAATAGTAGTCTCACCTTACGAAAATTATACTAAATATTAAACCGGTAATGAGTGATTGAGAATAACTGTACACGTCGACATTAAGGAGTCCAAATGAAAAGCGGAAATGGGTTTATGTATATTTAACCCCTGACAATGCATGGCCGCCTCAGCGCACAGACATAAAAGTACTGCGCTGCCAAATGAGACCGTAAAACGTTAAAACCCTCCTCTATTTATCACACTTAGGTGAGCCAGAGATCATTACCGTCGTAACAAATCAAAATCCGGGGGGGAAACAGAGTGCGAAGAAAGGTGAAAATGGCCTCCTGCTTGACACAAAGCAGCCGTTACGATCTTAAATAAGTCCTCTACCTGCGGAATGAACTGCGGAGTTCCCCGGGCCGCACTATAAACGACCTTGGTGGCTAATTCGTCCGGCCCCCCGCTGACAAAGCGCCGGCCATAATCGCCTTCGGAGTATCCATTCGGGGAATGTGTAACACCTTTGTGGCCGTGCCCGCGCACACTTCAGGTCACAGGGCTCGAAATTCATTTTTGGGAATAGGTGCGCTGGTGCACCAAAAATATTTCAGGTGCACCATATAAGATAAAATAAGTAGGATGTCAGCAAAAACTATAATTATGTTTCATTTCAAGAAAAGTGATATAATAACAATGATTATCATTGCATTTTTTTCTGACGCTTATAGATGTTAAGAACATGCTTTAACTAAAAGTCTAATACATTTAACATCTTTACATACGTTAAACCTAAGAAAATATTTGGGTGCACGAAAAAAGTTGCGTGCACAGCTCCAAATTTGGGTGCACTAAGGTGCACATGCACCCAGTATTTTGATTTGATTTGATTTGATTTGATTTATTAGAATTGCAAACAAGTACAATACTCGTGGGCCACAGGCAGCGGGGGGGCTGGTGTTGTGGCCCACACACAAAACAATCACAAGCACACAAACAAGACACACATTTAAACCTAGTATAAGTATATAAAAATAAGTATAAGGGTACTGAAAACAGCATAGATTAGAATACTGTATATCAGTCCATTTACTACTAGATACAGTTAATGCGGTTTCTAGCCGCCAGAATTTTGAGCCCTGCCGGGCCTGCACACACTTCAGGTCATTCCCAACACAACGTTCACCGCCCGAGGGGAGTGCGGCAACGGCATATTAAAACCTGATGAATAGACGATGCAGAAGTGGTTGTAGGGCGGTTAATAGGCCGTGTAATCCTGGCTGCGGGGAGAACACGGCTTGTTATATGGTTGCGAGAGCACAGCCGTACGTCAGTTAACCTAATCTGTCTACAGGCTTAATGGGCGCTTTTACTGCCGAGCTTCGCGGATTGGGGGCGGCACAGCTTCAGGCTGTACATAAGTATTGCCCGCCCTATAGAATATGCTGAATGGGTCTCCGGTGTTAAGGAATTAATCTTTGTGTGACTCGAGGTTGCTGCTGGGACAAAATAAAGATGAAGCTGCTGTTAAAAGTCTGGATGGCCTTTTCTGGACTGAATATGTTTATAAGTTTCAAGTTAGCTTAAGTTCGGGAGGAGTCTGACCAGATTTACATATAGGCCATGTCTACCTTTATTTGTAACAAGTCAAATCCAATTTGAGTTAAATTTGAGTCAGACGTGACTCCCAGCCACCAGCCATTGTATCGTAACCTCCAGTCCACTACCAAATATTTTCAACATTTTGAAACATTCGGCTGGTGAAACCAAATACAGCCATGCTTGCTACGTACCAACCTACCCCAAACCATAGTTGGGGTGGGAGTTCAGCAATGTTTGATAGGCCTTCTGTGGCTATAGGGCCTTAATATGACTGCTATGGACAACCCAAAAATCTATATTCTCGTTGTAATGCGTACACAGGTGTACCTCCTTTTGCACCTTTACCGCAAACTTAAGTCCCTGTGAACTTACAAAACAACCGCAAACTTAAGTCCTGTGAACTTAGAAAACAATTTACAGCAAACTGGAAGTAAGACTATAGTTTTAGTGTACTTACGGGTCCCAGTGGTTGATCTTGTGCTGCACCAGATGGTCCACCAGTGCCTGGGTGTACTCTTCAAACTGGGCCACGTACACGCTCAGGGTCAGGAAACAGTTGTTCCTGCTGCCCACAGCGAAGTAGTCCACTGTGGTCACGATGTCTATGCCATGGGGAAACGTCCCCTGAAACAAAGACAAAGGAACAGTTAGTGCTTTGATTTATTCAAATTGTAACAGTGCAATACATGTACATGTGGAACAGAGGCAGCTGTTGCTGGTGTTGTGTCTCACACATAGAAATGAATACTGGACACTGACAATACTCATTTTCGCTTGAGTCTAGTGGGGAAAGTCGTGTAAAGTACCTTTCCTGGTGGCGTCAGGACTCAAACCCAGGATCTCTTGATCCTGAGTCGCACACGCTGTCGCTGCGCCACACGACCCCACCAGTTAGTATTATTAATACATGTGCCAGGGTAGAGATTTAGACTCTGATCTCAGACTGGCTTGGTGATTCTAGTGGTAAGAGATATAGCTTGATCAGAATCTCTGTCAACAGTTGAGTTGTGAATGCCCCTACTTTTTTCCGTAAAGTGTGGTGGGTTCTTTAACCTGCGTGGGCTGTGGTTCAGAGCCAAACGCTCTGACCATTATGCCATGCAATGCCACATAGTTCAACTTCAGTATGATTGTTATAACTTTGGCACCAAATTTGTATTGGTTACTGGGTTTGGCAGGAGGGATGAGGTTACAGGTAATAAAGAAAAATAGAGCAGCCATTCTGTTATTGAGATGAAGCATGATGCTTTCATCATTTTGAATCAGTGGGGTTCAAGCGCCACTAACTGACTTGTCTAACAGGTCTGGACCTTTTAGCCTAGTGGTTGGTGTGTCAGATTCTCGAGTTGGTGGCCTGGGGTTTGATTTCCGGGAGCCAGGGGTTTTCGTTTTTCTACTTGCCTAAAGTATTTCTATTTGGCTGAAAGTAGTACAATGTGGCTTCACCGTGGCTGGTGTTTTCTGCGACACACACATAACAGGGTCATCTCTAGGTTAATGCCTGAGGCACCCTTGTAGATGGAACCTGTGGCTCAAACGTCCCATCCAGAGGACAAATGCACCCCATAACCAGAATGTATCTGTCCGGGGCTCGAACCCCTGACCTCTGGGTCCACCGAATTTGACCCAGCAGGTTTGCAGACCGCTACGTTATGTAAAACGTCGATACATGACATCTGCCCGGGGCCAGAGGGCTGAGCTTAGGGAGAAATTGCTTCTTAAGTAGCCATTTTTCACTGGGATACATGTAGCCATTTTTCACTGGTATACATTTTTCATTATATAGTTTGTGCTTATAAACCTGCATTTCCCCTCTGGTCTCTCAGTCACTGACGAAAGCTAGTGGATACTAGATGAAACGTCTGACATTTTCAAAATCATATCCAGTTGCTTGTCACTGCTTTTTGGCGTATTTTTCATTAGTATACGTGTCCTGCACCCAATGGCAGTTTATATCAGCCAACAAGACATCGCAAATCTCATACCTCTGTGAAACATTAAACAGTTCTTTTGAATTTTTTGCAGTAGTCTTTAATTGTGAATTTCTCTATGATTTTGTCTAACATACAATCTTCCCACATTTACGTAGGCACCAGACATACATGGGTTAAGTACAAGTAGCAGAAAATTAAACACAACAAATGACATACATTATCCTTTTATGGGACCTTTGACCTACCTTCCAGGCTCTCTCTCTCTCTCTCTCTCTCTCTCTCTCTCACACACACACACACACAGATACACAGACACAGACACACACACAGACACACACACACACACACTGTCACACACACACACACACACACACACACACACACAAACAGACATACCAAAAACAATACTTCCATTTTCATGGAGATAATGAATAAATGTGAGTGAATAAGAACATCGTGCCAGGATACCAGCCTTTTTAGCTTTAGTATATATAAAGCTTTCTTGGTTGCTTTCTTGGAATTAAGCAGGCAGCGACCTGAGCAATTTTTACTAATTAAAAGCTAAAAAGGCCAGCATCCAGGTAGGCTAAAGAATTATGTTACAATAGTTTACTCACCTGTCTACCAACATTCTCCTGAAATGCAGCCTGAAAACAGACAGAATGGGTGTTAATAAAGGAACAATAAAAGAACAAGTTTAAATATTTGCTTCACTTACTTGTAGTACATGAAATAGGACAGAAGAAAATAATGGTTTATTTTTCAATTAAGTATGGTACATATATCACTATCACATCAAGTTCTGTAGTATGACAGTACATATAATGTATGCCATTTAATTTTTGTATTAATTTATCATCATTTATACTGAATACTGTGTGCTTAGCTAGCAATACATTGCGAATAAATGTCCAATATACTGCGTAAATCTCCAAACCGCTGTCAATAATGACTGTCTTCAGGGCATGCCATTTTTCATAACATCGTCCATACTACATTTGTATGTGTCACATAAACATGTTATATTTGGCAGCATTTTTTGTACAACGCATTAAAAAAATGTCATATTTGTTAGCATTGACTCTACTGTGTTTCATATATTTTAAACATGCCATATTTACAATATTGTGTGTCACATAAAAACAATTCATACTTAACAGTACTGCATACATATTGTATGGTATATGAACTGCATATGTCATGTATTAAACAAACGTCATATTTTACATTATTGTCTGCATACTTACTGATGCAGCTCGCCTGCAGTTGACTTCTCTGTCAGCGACTGCAGTGATGATCAGAGCACTGCAAGAGAAACAGGAAATCAAAGATCTCATACCTCTGTCAAATAATTGTTTCAATCTGTGAATTTCTTGCTTTACTATTATTTCACGTCATTTTGTGAATTTCTAACTGATTCTGTCTATACATATTAAGGCCACACCAATTTAATTTGTTGGTTCTCGGATTTTTTCAGAAAAAATATGAAGCGACAGGGCGAGAAAAATAAAAATAAAAACAGGTCTAGGCATCCTATTATAGGCTTAAATGCTACGAAATGAGCCATGAAGTCAACATAAAAGGCCGGGTTAAAATTTAAACATTGAATTTTGAACTTTTAATCAAACCACTGCAATGATAGATGGGAAAACTGTAACAACTAGGAAGAAAAGGACTTTCCTCAACTGTTGGGGGCAAAACATGAGCATTTTTCAGTTGATTCAGGACCAGAATCAAATTTTTTTTTTTTTTTTGCAAATCAGAAAAAAACGAAGAGGCGAATCCGATAACCAACAAATTAAATTGGTGTGGCCTAAGTAGACAATTGAAATGTTGAATAAACCACTTCATGGTTTGAACTGCACATGCCTAAGGGGAAACGTGAGGGGTTAGGGTTCAAGGGGGAAAGGTGAAGTTCCCTAACATGCATACTGCACTGCTAGATGTTCCAACTAATAATAATATTGATTAAACAATAGATCTATATCATGCAATGCTCATTTTCTCATTTTTGGGGGTTCAGGTGTTTTATAATGACCTATTTTTTGGGGGAGAAAAAATTTGCCAATAAATCAGTACCAAGAAATAAATCACTGTGATATTGCCTAATTTCAGACCATCCAACTCCGCTGAAACACGCAATTTCAAAACAGACAGGATCGATTGAATGACAGTTTATTTTTGAATTACCAGACCGGGACACTCTAGGGGCAAGTGGCAGACATAGTCTTTATGTCAAGGGAGGACATTAAAACGTCTTACATTATAGCATTATGAGTGGAGGGTCTGTTCTGTGTAAAATGACAATTATGAAAGGTTTAACAATCGAATGCAGACAGCCTCAATAAAAGCATTGAAACCTGTTCAGTACAAAAAGTGATGACATTGAAAGGATTTAAGCTTTGTTACAATACTAGCTGGGATGCAGAGCTTGCTACAGATTTTTATTGTCAGCAAAACAAATATTTTACCCCATCTACTGAATAAAAATTTGCTTCTGGAAATGCATGTAATACTAATAACATTTTAAAGGGTTTAAAATTCGAAGGGATTGAAAATTTTATGGCATTGCCTGCAGTTGGCCCAAAAAAAGGATACATGTAGGTTCGGCAGGTTTTTGTCCAGTTTTTTGGGAAACTGGAAGCACAACTGTGCTGTTCTTTTTCAAGGCCTGAACAATATGAGCCTGGAATCGATTTAAGCCAAGTTGTACCACCGAGTGTGACAAGCGCTCAAGTGGGGCTGCCGGCATGTTGGAATTGTTGAATTATTAAATGCCAGCAATTACATTGTTCAAACAGTGTAGGTAGCACCTTGCACAAGGTAACGTATGGGGTCAAAACTACGACAGGATCCAATTTTCCGGGCGGTTAGCCTCCTGTGATTATGATAACATTGTTTGAGGCAGACGCACTGAATCGTGAAAACCGACAATCAATCAAGTACTTCTGAGGATAATAATGCACATGTTATCAATAATCAAACTTCATTTGTGGCCTTGTTTTCCAGATATTCCAATCTAAAATGCAAATCTATGCAGGGTAGCACATCGCCAAGTATATACTCTGTACGTAAGATAACGTTATCCACACATGTATTTAGCTTTGTTAGATCTTTAGTTAAGTTGTAGAAGACCACACAAAGGTCTCTGTACTTTTTTGTTGTGTCAATAAAGAATCTGATTCTGTAAAACTGAAGGCATGCAGGCTAGCAGAGCTTGAAATAATTGGTGCATTATGCACTTTTGTGGTCCATGTGTATGTTTGCATGTTTGCTTTTAAATTAGTTTCTCGAGTTACATGACATTATGTATTTGTTATCACCTTCAAAATGCAAAAATTTAATTAAAAGAATTTGGTAATTTTGAATGTCACCTAGTCACACAGAAAAGTACTTTGAGCTACGAAATGCCATAATGTAACATAAGGCCACACCAATTTAATTTGTTGGTTCTCGGATTTTTTCAGAAAAAATATGAAGCGACAGGGTGAAAAAAATAAAAATAAAAACAGGTCTAGGCATCCTATTATAGGCTTAAATGCTACAAAATGAGCCATGAAGTCAACACAAAAGGCTGGGTTAAAATTTAAACATTGAATTTTGAACTTTTAATCAAACCACTGCAATGATAGATGGGAAAACTGTAACAACTAGGAAGAAAAGGACTTTCCTCAACTGTTGTGGGGCAAAACATGAGCATTTTTCAGTTGATTCAGGACTTAGAATCAATTTTTTTTTTTTTTTTGCAAATCAGAAAAAAAACGAAGAGGCGAATCCGAGAACCAACAAATTAAATTGGTGTGGCCTAATATACATTTCTCAATTTTATCATTTTTAGTATCTATGGGAATGACAAAAGTGTTCGGCCAGCTTTAATTTTCTTCTTGACTTCCCATACTATTCCTGTGAGGAAAGAACTTCCACTGGCCATTTGTCACTAATTTTGCTCGACCAATAGATTTTCTTCACCGATCTGCAAAACTTGGGAAGCAGGAATTTATCCATTCATTATTTTGTTTATCTCACCAATAATCATTGTTACTAAAAAGTTTTGGAATTACCAAGGGGTTTAAAATCGAGATTGAATTTAAATCTCCTTGGAATTACTTTTGCTATCAATTTTAGTCTTTAGCAGCAGCAATACAACATAGATATGATGGAATATGACATGTACAATTATGTATAATGGTGAATAGGGATAATTTTGTCAAAAAGAGAAGATCTGTGTCCTTGGGAAAGGCATCTCACAAGACTTTCCTCATTCCACCCAGGTGTAAAATTGGTACCTGACTTTGGTTGGGGAGGTTAAAGATGGTGGAAGGAGAGGGATGGACTCTACCTTATCTATAACCATATTGGCCTCAGGCCACACCAATCTAATCTGTTGGGTTTCAGATTCGCCTCTTCATTTCTGCAAAAATGCTGATATTTTGCCCCCAATGGTTGAGGAAAGTCCTTTTTTTCCTAGTTGTTAACAGTGTTTCCATCTATCAATGCATGGTTTGATTAGAAGTTCAAAATTCATGGTTTAAATATGCAGCGTTTTGTGTTGACTTCATGGCTCCTATCGTGGCATTTATTTATTTTTGCCCTGCATTTCATATTTTTTCTGAAAAAATCTGAGAACCAACAAAATAATTGGTGTGGCCTTATGCATCTGTATCTGTATCAGTATATAGCCAGTATAACCACCCTTCGGCGTAACACTCCAGCTTCGCAGGCACGCAGCGCAGCGGCAGCTAGCTACATCACACCGAACGACTTGTTACACTGCATGCATGTGCATGTAGTTACATCAGATCCTTTTGTGCTAACCTGGCGATCTGCTGCACGTAGGGTTTGATCTCCTCGGGTTCGTAAGCACGAGCGAAGGCCCAGCACACGTAACAGGCCGCGTCCCGGACGTGCAAGCCCACGCTGTACCCGGCCCACTTATATTTAACCATATTGGCACTATACATTTGTACATGACATTGTAGTTATGTCAGCCTACCTGGCGATCTGCTGCACGTAGGGTTTGATCTCCTCGGGTTCGTAGGCTCGAGCGAAGGCCCAGCAGACATAGCAGGCCGCGTCCCAGACGTGCGAGCCCACGCTGTACCCAGCCCACTTATATCTAACCATATTGGCACTATACATTGTGTACATGACATTGTAGTTATGTCAGCCTACCTGGCAATCTGCTGGACGTATGGTTTGATCTCCTCGGGTTCGTAGGCTCGAGCAAAGGTCCAGCAGACGTAACAGGCTGCGTCCCGGACGTGCGAGCCCACGCTGTACCCGGCGCGCTTATATCTAACCATATTGGCACTATACGTTTGTACATGACATTGTAGTTATGTCAGCCTACCTGGCGATCTGCTGCACGTAGGGTTTGATCTCCTCAGGTTCGTAGGCTCGAGCGAAGGCCCAGCAGACATAGCAGGCCGCGTCCCGAACGTGCGAGCCCACGCTGTACCCGGCGCGCTTCTCGCTGTAGGTCAGGGCCTTCAGCATCACTGGCACAACTGGGGGAGAAATCATCACTCTTTACTTGCCATCATGGAAAAAACAAGAGGTTTCAAATCCACGAATAGGTTCATCAGGTTGGTAAGTCTCTGACTAAAGAAACTCTTTTCTTTACACAACCAAAAAGCAGTGAATGAAACAATTGGTTGTATAGAGAGCTTCTTTACTCAAAGAGTTTCAAAGTTTCACACAATGTTCTCGTATTTATTTGTGCAATTTGATGAACAACATTTAACATACAACAATGTAGTACATTTAAAAAAACACATCAACAATGCATAAGAACTAATCACAAACAGGCAATTGGTATATCATGGTCAAAAGACAAACATGAAGAAGATATATGTCTGTACATTATTGTTGCAAATAAAACAAACAATCATCATGTATCATGTATAGCACAATTGGACCATGGGATCACACAATACAATAAATTTGTATGTTAGGCCACACCAATTTAATTTGTTGGTTCTCGGATTCGCCTCTTCGTTTTTTTCTGATTTGCAAAAAAAAAATTGATTCTGGTCCTGAATCAACTGAAAAATGCTCATGTTTTGCCCCCAACAGTTGAGGAAAGTCCTTTTCTTCCTAGTTGTTACAGTTTTCCCATCTATCATTGCAGTGGTTTGATTAAAAGTTCAAAATTCAATGTTTAAATCTTAACCCAGCCTTTTGTGTTGACTTCATGGCTCATTTTGTAGCATTTAAGCCTATAATAGGATGCCTAGACCTGTTTTTATTTTTATTTTTTTTCGCCCTGTCGCTTCACATTTTTTCTGAAAAAATCCGAGAACCAAGAAATTAAATTGGTGTGGCCTTATTACAAGATAATAGTTCTGGCACCCAGGCTGCATATATTAATCACAGGGTTTCTTATTCAATCTTCCAGGAACACCAAGATGAGAGCTTGTTTTCTGAGATATATTTTTCTTCATTTCTGAAAAACAAAACAACAAGTTGAGTCATGTCAATGTAATATAAATGTACACAGTACACACATTGGAAATTGCTTAGATTTTTACTACACAAAGACTACACAAAATACACTTAATGATACATTAAAAACCCCTTACCCTAGCCTACAGCATGCATCTGACTGGCTTACACCATGGCCAGTCACCCTATGTTCTGAAACCCCCATGTTCCGTCACCTCTAGCCCTATATACATGTATATGCTGCCACACCCCTAAGTTCCAAAATCCCCAATATGTTCTGACAACTCTATAGGTATCAAAACCCCTAACACTAATCCTGTGTAGCCCCTACAATGTACATGTACCTAGGGGTGTTGGAACATAGCCCTATCCCCATGTACCAGACCTGGCAATGGCTGAGCTACAAGAAGCAATGCATTGTTGTACACACATCAATACATGAGGAATATCTTTTTATAATACATAGCTATGGACGTAGTATTTTACTCGATATATGGATTACTTTTACCACAAATACCATACAGCATGTGGCAATTACGTGGTTGCTCCAAATTTCGTTAAAATTGATCATTCTGAAGGTCCTGAATATTAATTTGGGTCAATAGCTCTACACGTAAACACAAACTGAACTGCACCCTAGCGGCACTGTTCAACTCAGCAAAAGTCAAAATTAAAAATTCAAACTACATTTGAGGAAAACTTTTCATGCTGATAGAGCAAAATCTAAGATCATGATGCCCCTTACTTTGGTAATCCATTTTGTCACGCCCTGGGCTAAAATTTGAACGATTTCAAATAATTTGTAATGGGGAAAATGTACAGTTTTGATGTTGCAGCATCATATTCAATTTTCAAATCTCCAACTTTTTCACACGCAATAAGACCCAAGCTAAGTATGGAATCCTTCCTGACTTACGGGAGGTTTAATTTATTGCTGACGACTTTCCTCGTGCTTTTATCAGTTTCATTCCCGTCACTCAAAATACAATATCCCGTCACACAATCTCTCTCGCGCATGCATAAAACATTAGCTCAACCTTTCAAACAAAACCAGATGGTATATCTCGCTTCGTAGAGATACCCTGCACCTGATTCCCTGATGATATTTACCGCAGGCACCGATCATTTTTGTAAATATTGCGCTTAATAATGAAATCATTCATCTACTACATGTATGTTGTGAGAATGGTTGTGGGTTGATCTGCCTAAAGCTTATACAACCATTCAAACAGATAACAAGATATTGTGTTATGCTTTGGAGAGATACCATGCGCCCGATTCCCTCATGATACATACCAGAGGCAACGATTGCTTTTGTAAATATTGCACTTAATAATGAAATCATTCTTCTAATGTGTCGTGCCAATAGTTATGGGTTGATCTGCCTTATACAACCTTTTAAACAAAAGAAGATATTGTTTCTTCCTTCAGAGTGATGCCGTGCACTCGATTCCCTTATGATATGTATTGGCCGGAGGCAGCGATAACTTTTGTATATATTGCGCTTAATAATGAAATCACTTATCAACTATGTAGTGTGATCGGTCATGGGTAGATCTGCCTTATATAACCTTTCAAACAAAACAAGATTCCTGCTTTGCAGAGATATACTGTGCCCCGATTCCTTCATGATACATACCAGAGGCACTGATTGCTTTTGTAAATATTGCGCTTAATAATGAAATCATTCATCTACTGTGTCGTGCCAACAGTCATGGGTTGATCTGCTTTATACAACCTTTCAAACAAAAGAAGATATTGTTTCTGCCTTCAGAGTGATACCATGCCCCCGATTCCCTTATGATATGTACTGGAGGCAATGATAACTTTTGTATATATTGCGCTTAATAATGAAATCACTTATCAACTACTAGTATGTAGTGTGATCAGTCATGGGTTGATCTGCCTTATACAACCTTTCAAACAAAACAAGATATCGTTTCCTGCTTTGGAAAGATACTGTGAACTTGATTCAGGCTTATTCCCTTATGATATATCCCAGAGGCACCGATTGCTTTTGTAAATATTGCGCTCAATAATGAAATCATTCATCTACTACTTTGTGTGAACTGTGGTGGGTTGATCTATGTTACATGCACACAACCTTTCAAACAAAAGAAGATGTTGTATCTCACTTTTGAGAGATTGACTCCCTCATGATATGTACCAGAGGTACCGATCATTTTTGTAAATATCGCAAGTCATTCATCTACTAGTACTTTGTGGAAATGGTAGTGAGTTGGTCTGCGTTATATAACCTTTTAAAACAAAAGAAGATATTGAGAGATGCCGTGCCTCAGGTTCCCTTATGATATGTACTGGAGGCAACGATTGCTTTTGTAAATATTGCGCTTGATAATGAAATCATTCTACTTTGTGCAAAATAGTCGTGAGTTAGTCTGTGTTATACAACCTTTTAAACAAAGCAAGATATTGAGATATACTATGCCTCGGGTTCCCTCATGAAACGTACCAGAGGCACCGATCGCTTTTGTAAATATTGCGCTTGATAATGAAATCGTTCATCTACCGCGTTGTATGGTTGTGAGTTGGTCTGCGTTATACAACCTTTTCAACAAAACAAGATACTGAGAGATACCGCGCATCAGGTTCCCACATGATACGTACCAGAGGCACCGATCACTTTTGTAAATATTGCGCTTGATAATGAAATCGTTCATCTACCACGTTGTGAGTCAGTTGATCCGCGTTTTGTGAGGGACGCTTCTCAACGCGAGGTCTGCTCCCTCGATGAAGTGATAAGGAATTAATGATTCATCAGGGTCTGAACTGGTGTGACCTGGGACGAATCGATTAGAGCGGGATGTCAGTGATTAATTACCCGCTGTGCCTGATACTGGAGTGATGTTTCGATACAGCGGCACGGGGGAGGGGGGCACGATATTTACAAAAGTTATCGTTGATTCCAGTACATATCATAAGGGAATCGGGGCACGGTATCACTCTGAAGGAAGAAACGATATCTTATTTTGTTTAAAAGGTTGTATAAGGCAGATCAACCCATGACCGATCACACTACATAGTTGATAAGTGATTTCATTATTAAGCGCAATATTTACAAAGCAATCAGTGCCTCCGGTACATATCATAAGGGAATTGGGGGCATGGCATCATTCTGAAGGAAGAAACCATATCTTGTTTTGTTTGAAAGGTTGTATAAGGCAGATCTACCCATGACCGATTGCAACTCAGGACCTTATCAACGAAACCACTGTTCATATTAGCTACGTTGAAGCTTTAGATACAGCTGCAAAAACGATATAGAAGCCTCTCCGGCTTTCTTTGGACAATTAGTTGTCTAGATTAGTAGGATTGGTGATACAAATTATGGTTTTCAAGTCTAGAGTAATATTACTTCTCCACTCTTATCAGCTTTTAACCGTGAACATTTTGGATAAAAACTTGACAAAGATGGAAATCTTGTGTTGCTTACTGATGTGTATAACATACTATTCGCAATATACCAAGTTGGCAAAAAGTTACAAAGTAATAATTAATGTAAACTCATTTTTATCAGTGTGTTTCCTGAGTTGACAGCAAAGTAATACCAAACATTTGATGTACAACTCTACAATAGTAGTTAAACTTTTACATAATACACTAGCTACATGTTCTATAATGCAGCTTATATATCTTAATTAATAGTCATCCACCTTTGACATCTACTGATTTGGCTAGGGAAAAATGCTAATGATACATAATCATAAAAGTTGGTGATGATATACAGAGCAATAGTTGTTATTACTCAGCTGATATTTCACACAAATATGTATGTCGATACGAATGAGTAAGCATCACACAAAGGTGACCCTTTTATCAGTAGGGCATATTTCATTCAAATAAGTTATATTATCTATATCATAACAAATACACTTTTGTCATGATTATATTCGAACTGATAATGATAAATGTCCAAGGCTTTGTGTGGGGGGTTGTGTGGCACAACGGCAGAGCATTCTGCTCAGAACCAAGAGGTCCTGGGTTCGAATTCTGCCAAGTCACCAACCTTGTGCCCTTGGGAAAGGCACTTGATTTTCCTCAC